AGAGAACTACTTATCGATTGATGATGTAATGAAAGATCGTGTGATAATACATCAACCTTTAGTCAAGAAATATCAAATGGCCTGAAAAACGACAACAAAAGGCAAAAATGGCTTGGCACGGAACGTGTTAATAGGACTGCACGTCGCATTGATCCAACGATTCGTAATGGATACGTCGCGCTAAAGTTCGTACATGACACGACGGACCGAAAGTGGAACTTACGGAACAATGTAAACGTGGTTTGTTTTTCTTTTCCCGATCGTTTCCAGTGGCGTGGCTGTATCGTGCGGGGAGTGCAGCAGCAGCGGTACCAGCGATATCACGGAGCCGGGCTCGCCGTGCAGCACGAGCAGCGACGAGGGGGTAGCGATACGTGGCGCGTCAGCCAGTCCACTTCCGTCCCTACCCAAGCTGGCGCCGTCCTCGCAGATCAGCACCAGGCCCCAGTGGCCCTGGACCCCGCCGTTGGCCGCCACCGCGTGCTCGACCTACAAGAGGCTGAAGGGCGAGCCCGAGGTTGGCACACTGCCGAGGTCCGGGGCTGCGGATCCCAGTTTCCGCGGCAGCAACAAATCCACCACCGGCAAGCCGAACGCCCAAGCCCACCACCACCACCACCTTCATCACGAGTCCCAGGGGAAGATCACCGAGTACTTTAAAACGCAAATCAAACCACAACAGCCCAAGGTAATTACGGTTGCATCCTCCAAGCGTGTATGACTGTATTCTACCGCGGCTCTACTACATTCGCAGATCAAGAAGAACAACAACAACAGCGAGGGCATGTCGGTGCTGGTGGCGAAGAGCTCGTCGGAATTTCGAAGACCAGCCACGGTGCAGAGGAACAAGGGTGGACTGGCCAAGTATTTGAGCAGCGTGTCGCCGAACGGGAGGACAGCGTCGACCAACGACTGGGAAGCGAGGACCACTCTGACAATGTCTCCGCCGCCTACCAAGAAGCCACCGCCGGTCATCGTGCCGAGGACCAACGGCAAAATCGACAAGAAGCTGACCAAGCCAGTGCCTAGCCTGCCCATCTCCAACGACGTGCTGAAGAACGGCAAGATCTCGTCTCTCAGGTAGGCGAAACTCCAGCAACTGCGCCTCTCTTTGACCCTTTGACTGCGGAGCGTTCGGAAATGAAACACGCAGCTCCTTAGCTGCAACACATGGGAATTTTATTCGATTTTGTGCAAAGCAAACGGTGCATGTTAGGTGCAGCTGTTTAAAAATAAATTAAGCTTGCGCGCTGTTCGCAGTCAAATGCTTGATACGAGACACGAGAGATAATAAATTGTCCTTGTCGTCGATCAGATTGACCTCGGAAGCGTGTTCGAACGCGAAGAGTAGCTCGCCACCCTCCTCGACGCCGGCCTCTGCTCTGAGCAGCGACGCGGCCACCCTCGACAACTACAAGGGTTGCATCCTGTCGAAGCCGCACGTCAACGAGAACAACAACCTGACGAACGGTTGCGCAAGCATCTTGGGCTCGCTGAGGTCTCAGGGTAGCCAGGACCCGCTGACGAGGCTGTCCGTCCCCGAGGACACCGACGACTCCGCCAAGGAGAGACAGGCGAGCCCGGCGGACGAGGACGACGTGGAGGAGGAGGAGGAGGACTCGAGGAGCAGCGAGTCGACGAAGCCGCTTCTGTCGCCGATACTCTCAGCCCCGACCACCATACGATTCCCTGCCCGAGAGCCGGAGAAAGACAGGCAACAGGCAACGGACAGCGGCGTCTGCCGCTGGGACAAGTGCGAGGAGAGTTTCGATTCGAGCGGCGAGCTCCTTGAACACTTGCAGGTACCACCAACCACCACGATGATATATCACTCTCTCGCGCTTTTCATCTTTCGACCAACCGAATTACAAACAACACGTTCCGACGAAGGTCGAGCGTTTTTTTTTTTTCTCTCTCTCTCTTTTTCGATCGATCGATCCCGCGAGTAATTCGAGCATACATACACACAGTAGTTGGAAGCTTAACGAAGCTCGTTGTATCGTGTTTCGCAGTTTTCTGTTACAGTTGTTGGTCAGTCACTCCTCGAGTCCCAAATTTTTTTTTTTTTTTTTTTTTTTTTTTTTTCTCTCTTTTCTCTTCGAGCGTAATCGATATTGCAACACCGTCGTGTGGCTACCGGGTATCCGCTTCGGGGATATACACTAGGTGTGTACCGGCCAATAATGCGGATTATTTGTCAAAAGGTGAATGTTGCTCCAACGTTGACAAATATGCGATTCGATATGTACGCCATCTAATTGTTATTGACAACAAGATTCAAACCTTCGTTTTTATTTAATTTTCTCGAGTTGTTAACATCATAGATAAGAGCCAGAGTTCCATCTGGAGCTACGCGTGAATGCTTTAAAAATGGTGGTTTCGAGGTAAAAGAACGTAAAAGAACCGAAAAAATTTGAAGCATTATTGGATGAAAAATGCGTGTCAAACTCGGACGAAAAACTGTCAGAAAGATCAAACTGAAAAGTTTGCTCAGCAAACAATTAATCCCGATCGATTACAATGCAATAAGAAAGATTTCAAAGGAACGAAAATGAGTGCCACGTCAACGAAATGCAAATTGTGAACCGAAAAGTCATTAGCAAAATGTTGGCTACAACGGCACGAAAGAAAGTTCACGAAAATTGCGTCTCCAAAACAAGAAACGGTATCAACGAATTACCCTGAAAGATGGAAAGCGGGAAATATGTAGCTAGCGATGGACACGCTGGATTTTAATATTTCTCTTGAA